GGTCCTTAACTCGCCTAACTCTCCTGAGAGGGTTATTCGAGGAGCTGAGCGTTTTGTTATTAAGACCCGAATTCAATACTCGATGCAGCTAGCCGGGTATTGAACCCAGGCCCTGGCGTGCAAGAGGCAGGAACCATACCAATTATCCAAATGCTCAGCTCAGTATTAGCCTAGGCCACAGCCTATTTTAATTTATTATTTTTAAAGGAGGGGTCTCCGGCCTACATAAATACATACCAAGGGCTAGGCTAAGATGTGTATAAGAGACAGGAGTATTACTAGTACTACAGCACTGTAATGCATATACCTATTTTAATACACTACTGAGATAGGCTTTTATTTTTCAATCTTGATTTCAGAGGTCAACAAAATTTTTCAATTTTTTTTCAATCATATAGTGGTGTAAACTAGTCTTTTAAGAACATTTTTCTGGAAATTTTTTTTGGATACGACACCCCGTTATAGAGTTATGATTTTTTAAATAACATGATGTCAAAAAATCCACCCAAAAGCTTATCATATTTCTGTTGGTTACGCACCCCTGATTCGCAATGTTTGTCATCACTTCAAGATGTCTACCGATTCGTGAAAAAGGCGTATTCATATTCTTGACAGCAATTTGACCTCTGAAAGGTCATTGTTTGTCAAAAAACTATCGCCTAAGGCTATGTTCACACACATGGTGTAAGGCTGGCTTAAGCCTGGCGTAGCGTACGCCTTTGTGTGTGAACTAGGCAGTGGCGTTGTTAAAGCCACTCACTACGCCACGTCCTTGGCATTATTAACGCTACCTGCAGACCCCAGATTAGCTAACGCCACTGAGCTAACGCCAGTGATGCTTGAATGATTTGACTTCATTTCAAGAGATTGACCAATCACGATTACAATATATTTATTATTAGCTACTTTGGTCTCTTTTCTATGCTCTCTATAAATGAAATGGTAAAGGGGTTCCTTTTCTATTGCATTTTACTTAGTTATAATATATATGATTTATTGATTGTGTTTTGTAAGATATTTTAACCATTTAGACTGTCTATTAAAACATGCAACATCAACAATGCTAGCTGAAAAATCAAAAGTAAAATTGTTCATTTAAAGTACAATAATCATATAAGTTCAATTCGAACAATTCACAGATTTAAAAGTTTTCATGATGCACTGTTAATTTTACTACTGTTAACACGTACCGTACATTATTTAAAACTGAAAACTATTCCACTCCACATAGGCCTATATTACTGCTAGTTTAACGAACGCCGTTTGTGTGAACACTTTGGAATTTTAATCCGTGGACTAGTTTACACCTGGCGTAAGCCACGCCAGTCTTACGCCATGTGTGTGAACACAGCCTTAGACAACTGAAAAGCGGAGTTTCCTTCTTTCGTTCTGCCGGGTAAAATCAAAATACTTTAGGCGACGTTTATAGACTAACCTACTCGTACCAACGTCGGCATGTCGCGACGCTGGAGTACTATTCAGCGTTTGTACTATATTTCTAGGTTTCCTATTTCTACGTTTAATCGGCTCATGTCTCAGCCACAATATTTTGAGGCCAATATTATTTACGAACCCAGTTAAACTTATTTACTAGCCTATTTCAACGTGCTAATTATTACATTTAGGCGACGCTTTTTGTAGACTGGCATAGTGTTTTCGGAAATAAATACCATTTTATACACATGCGCAGATCGATTCGCCAGCAGCGAGTCATCGCCAGCAGAGAGATGTCACTGCAGCAAAACACTATTGTACACGGTACCCTTTGCTCATATTATTTGTTATATTTTTATTATTCATTATTTTCACTTGACTCGCATAAATAATTTTGTTCGAAGAACATTTTATGCAGTTGTACTTCGCAGCACTTCACTTGCAATTTGCAATTTCTAGGCTAAGATATATTGACGCAAATGTTGTTTATGAACTCGGCCATGTTTTGGTCACGTAGATATAATACTGATTAAACATACTCTGGTTTGTGTTAATTTTCGTTGTCAACGAAGTCTATTTAATGAACCAGTCGAATGAAAATAATACTCAACGAAAATTTGCACTCAACGAAATGGACCATTCGAATAAGCTCAATCTCATGAAAATGAAATGCAAAATTGTGTGGGTTTTTTTTTGTATTGGGCTCAATTGAGGGTGCTATTTTCTTTTATTTTTTTATTGTTTTTTGCCTTTCTGTATTTCGAAAACCTACGGTGTATGGATGGTAAATTGTAATTCAGTCAGAGCTGATGGTTATCTCTGTGTGCAGAAATTAAATGCATTAACACGTTGAATGCCAAACCTTTTTTTTAAGGTTCCTTCCCATGTGCCAAAACTAGTTTACATGTACAAACATACTTTTTTGAAATTTTATCTAGTCATATGAGGCATGTTGTGGCAAAATGGTTAAGTTGTAGCAAAAATTGAAATTCAAGTTATTGGTATTTTCAGATTACATGGATATGTGATCCTTTAAAATAAGGGGTCATTCATTGAAATTGGAAATTTCAAGCCTAAGTTATTGGAAAGTGAATGTACAGTACTCTTAGAATCAAGATAAATGATTTTGAGTAATTGCCTTTCAAAGTTATTTGTGCATACATTTTTTAATAGAATGAACTATCAAAATAACATTAAATAAACAATTTGTTGACCACTTCCAGAAGTAATACTTTGGTACATGATTAATAAGACCTTAGACTGTTGATCTATAATGAAAAACAAATTTGGATTTTTAGGCAATTTTTTGAACTCCAATATTTTATAGATCATTTACTCAGTACTGGCCTGTGCGACAACTTAACCATTTTTCCATGACATGCCTCATATGACATCAACATGAAGTGTCTAATAAATTGGCGGGAAAATATATAGGGGGCGAGTATACTCGTCAATGATAGAACTTTTTACTGACTGCCAAGTGCGGGTTTTTTATCTTGTCTGCTTTTTGCATGGGTTGGTATATGTTCAAAGGGCACCCCCACTTGTACCGCTCGAGTGTACTACTGGTAACATAACACAACAAACATACATATGTCATTTTTACGTTATCGTCTAGGTGTATCTTCCCCAAACTTCCAGCCGTTGAGTCTGTGGTTCTACAATGTATAATAAAGAAGTTATAAACGCTAGAATGTTTCCTCAAATTTGACGAGTATACTCGTTCCTAGCACCCTCAGCAACACCCTGTGGGCGAGTATACTCGTTGCTGGCAGCCAGCGTGTTAACAAAGCTTATTTAAAACAGATCTCCCAGAAGTGGCTTTTCAAACATGATACCCCAGAGATGTTTAGTTTGATTTTTAAAAACACATTTTTCATTAACAGAAAATGGCACACGTAAAAATGTATGTTTATTATTTTCAATAACGCTCTTATCTGTTTGTTTTTTTAACCAGCACTATGTGTACCAGATTGTGGTGTTGGTGGTACTTGTATATCTTCTAATAACTGTTCATGCCTCTCTGGCTTCGAGGGGCAACAGTGTGAAGGTAGGTTAATAAAACAACCAGTCAAACGATTTCAATAATCATTAATAATTTTCTGTAAGCCTGATGACAAGAAAGTCTGACTTACCCAGCCTCTGATTGCAATTGGTGGTATACATGGTATTTTATTTTATTTTATTTTTTTTATTTATTTATTTATTTTTATTTTTGGCATAACGACTCTCTCAAAATGGCAAATAGAGAACTGGCTGTGTTATATCTAGACAAATTTGTATCATGAATATATCTGATATTTATTCATTTCTTGCCGTCCATTACTCACCCACTCAAACCGTGCCTCATGACTAAATACAACTCATCTTCATAAGACTAATAAAGGTATTTATTTTATGTAGAGTGACTTTTTTAATATTGTCTTGTGAAGATTGCAACTTTTAAAATTTGTTATTTGCATATATCCTTGGCCGTAAGCCTAAATATTAAATAAATTATTCACAATTTTCCCAACTAAAGTAAGGAAAGTTTTAAGAAATCTTTAAGAGACCTCTCCTTTAACAACCTCATAATAACAACTTCCATTGTTGATATGAAGTCGATTTATGACAACACCTCGGTATGTTGCCCAGATGAGCAATACATGTTCATAATAGTATGATCAGAAAAGATACACAGTATTATTTAACATTTTCATAGTAGTACAGTATGTACATTTTCAACACATTATATTGTCTCCTAACATATAGCGATCTTTAACTCATCATTACCATGTAGTATACAGGGTTTAGGTATAATAAAATTCAGTGAGACTGTTTTGCTAATTATATTTTTATCATGGTGCTTTGCAAATGCTAGATATTGTACATGACCGCCATGAGACCCAGAGAGCTGACTGTACCAAAATCATTAACAAAGCACAATATTCAAAGCATATTTATTAAAAGTAAATCACTAACTACATTTTTTAAGCATTACACTGAGATCATCATTCATTGTATAATAATGATATTATGTATAATAATATAATATTAGGTTTACACCAAAAGTTCTTTCATCATTACTTTCATATTCTTTACATCAAAGAACTTTTCATCAGTTCTTTCATATCATTACAAAAAAAACACAGATATTGATGAATGTTTAATAAACAATGGAGGCTGTGAACAAATCTGTGACAACTTTCATGGATCCTTCAATTGCTCATGTTATGATGGGTTTGCCGGCTCGAGTAATTGCACCGGTAAGAATCTGGAGAAGTTTTTGAAAAAATAAAAAAATAGCCGTGTTAGCTGAGCTAAAAAAAAACAACACTGGACTGAAATGTCTGGTCGTTGAAGACGTTGATTGGTGTTAAGTTGTCGCTGAAACAATGTAGGGCTACCTCGTGCATTAAAACTTACTTGAACTTTCAACGATATTTTCATCATCTTTTATGAAGTACCCATTTTCCCATGATAGCCTATATGGCAATGTATGTATTCAGCCTGACGTCTTTCCCTTGGGTCCTTGCTCGGCCAGTTTTGGCATTCTAGTCCTAGAAAAAACAAAATGCTGATTAATCCCAAAGGTCCGGGAGCATTGGTCTAACCGATGAGAGTTCGTAAACGTAACCAAAACATTTGTCAACTGTTGAAATTCTGTTTATTCTGTATTTCATTAAACTAAGTTAAATAACACAATGCAAGTTGAGTCTGACAGACTAATAGTGTATACCTAACGTCAGATAGATGTGCATATTTTATATTGTATAATATTTCAAGTTGACCGTTTCTTAGCCACGAAGTCAGGCGTTTCAACCATCACTGTGCGTTCCGCATGTGTCCTTGGACAAGGCATTTTCACATACGCCTGTCTTTCTCCACCCAGAAGTGTAATAATGTACCTGATTGAAATATTCTTGGAAAGTTAAAATTGGTGTGGAATAGAATTTGTCTGATGGACTCTATGTACGATGGACTCCTAACTCATATTCCTACGTTATTTAATGAATTTGAAACTACCTTTATATTTCCTTTTTTATATTTTGAATTAGATGTTAACGAGTGTTTAGATGGCACTTCTGGATGTACCCAACTTTGTACCAACACTGACGGTAGTTTCACCTGTGATTGCTACAAAGGTTGGACACTAAATCCTGATGGAAGAAGCTGCACTGGTAATTTTTTTTTTTTTTTTTTAATAAATAAAAACTATGTATTGCTGTAGTCATCTCTTTATATTTAATTCTATGTTTTTTTGTTTTTTTTTATATATATTCTCCAATTTAATTTTTCAAACCTCTATGGTGGCTATTTTTATTTAAAATAGCTTTCATTTTTTTTAAATCTTTACTTCTATAGCAAATAAAACCCAAGTTTAGTAGCTGATATCAATATATTTTATAAATATATTATAATCAACAAAATCAATGTTAAACAAATAGCAGTGTTTTTTCACTTCTAACTGAATTAAATTGTTTGCATTTAATTCAGTTACATATGTTATTGAATACATCTAGTTTTTTATACCTTGTAAAACTAACACTCGTCATAAATTTATAATCACAATGTGACAGCCAATCCATGTGTTGACATTGGAATACCTATTGACGGTACACGCAACTGCACTGGTTTCACAACTGGAGAGTCATGCGTCTTCGAGTGTGAACGGAACTATCAACTTTTGGGATCTAATAGGCGGGAGTGCTTATCTGACGGTGTTTGGGGAGGTCAATTAACACATTGTGAAGGTTTGTTTCTAAAAGAATACACAAAAATTATATATATATATATATA